TCCCGGGCCCCCTCTTTTCTGCTGCCTGCAGAGGGAGGGTCCCTGTGCTGTCCCTGTGTTTCCGAGTCTGTGCGCTGCAGGCCGAGTGCCCCTTCTCCGGCACGCTTGGGACCCCAAGTGCTTGGTTGGATTATTTTGGGGGAATTTTTGCATATTCATGATGTGATATCTTGAGGATGGGGCCCAGGTCTAAACAGGAAATTCATTGCTGTTTCGCATACACATTGCCCGAATGTAATTTTATACAGTATTTTTGATAATTTGTGCATGCCTCAAAGTTTGTGTACATTGGACTGTGAGGAAGCAAAGGTGTCAGGTGTGAATTTGCCGCTTGTGGCATCCTGCCCACATCAAAAAGTTTACGATTTGGGAGCGTTGCGGACTCCCAGGCTGGAGCTGCTCAGTCTGTTTGTCAGTTGACCATCTTGTGCATAAGACAGGTCAAGATTTGCACTCACTTTTCGCTGAAAGTGAAGCGGGAGGCCTGCTGAAATCACCTGGCCTCTCACTGCTTGTAAGTGCCAGAGCCAGACTGGGACCCAGGGCGTCTACACTGTGTTTTTCAGCCTCCCTGTTAACTTTTTAAGTTTGAGCCACCTGTGGCCTTTGGTCACCCAGTTACACATATCGTGCCAGCTAGCAGCATATTTTATTTTTTACTGTTGATTAAGTCATTTTGAAGCAGCCACTTTATTCAAGGGAAACACTGTTACAGAGCTCGAACTTTTATTATGCTGAAAGTGTTGATGAATATCTGTTATTTGTCTTGGGAGTAAGTGGTGAGGAATATGAAAATGAAAATAAAATTGTATCCAGCTGCAAGCCTGACACACTTCAAAGGAAGGCCACTTTGGAAATGGATTTGAAAACACAGAAAAGGGATGTCATGAGGGCTGGCCATGGAAATGAAAGTCAGAATAATAGTGTAACATTTGTGTTGAATATGTAATTAAATCTTGCTGAAGACTGTATGACAACAGCAGGTAGAAGAACTGAAGCCCTCTATGAGTTTGTGAGCCCTTGACTAAATTACTTCCATCTCCCCTGTCTGTCTCAACTGTAAAGGGGAGTGATGGTTTTGCCAGCCTCACGGGGTTTGAAAGGATTAAATGAGATGACCGTGTCAAGCTCGGAGCATATCCTCAGAGGCTTCCCTTTCCAACAACTTGGTTTCAATACAGACAAACTTTGTTTTAATTGATAAATCCACAGAACATGTTTTGTGCTTTATAGGTGCATCTGTTAGAATATTTTGAGTAATTCGTAAATAAATCACCACTCCTTATTGCTCTTATGCAAATATACATTTTTGCATAAAACAGCTTTCATAAAGCAGTGAAGAAGTACATGCATTAATATAGTCTATGGCACTTCAGACAAGCAGCCTTGTCCTGATTTGCTTAAGGACATCACAACCCCTCATGTTGCAAATCAGTAAAATAAGAACTGTTTGAACCAGATGGACTTTGAGGTTTTTTCTAGATGGGACCTCAGAATTTGTGACTTTGTCTTGGGACACCCTGGTGGAAAGCTCATCGATTTTTATAGAGCAGCAGCTGTGCTTTTTAATATGGCTTCCTAGGAAACAACACGTGAAACTCCACATGGAAATGCTACAGTGACTTGCAGGAGGAAGAGAACATTTTAAATCATTTCCCCAAATTGGAATACAAAGTTAGGTTTGTCTTTCTGATTTTTGTATCTCTAATCGGGGCCAGTAATAAAATAGAAAACTCAATGCGATATACAGGGCAGATGGGTAGAAATGGATGAGTGCCTCGACCCCCTTCCTCAGGAAGCTTACAGTCTACTTTGAAAGCAAGACAGACCCATTCAGCTAATTACCTAGGCAACATGTTGCACGTCTTGTGTCAGGAAAACTAGCTGAAACATTTTCTTTTTCCCATTTTATTTTTCGATCAAATGCCTCAAATTAAGGAAGCCTAAGAAATGCAAAAGGCATAAGTTGTCTGCCCCATTCATTATCTTCAATGTTGCATTTTTTAAAAATAAAATTTGATTTCTTACCAAAGAGAATTCAAAGTAAGAAAGACTGCAGTCAGTGATTATAATTTCTGAGGAATATTCGGAAATATTCGAGAAATTAAGAGATTAAGGGATCCAAGTTTTTACTCTGAAGTTTTAAAATGAATTATTCAGGTTAAAATACATAATTCTATTGGTAGCAATACAATGTATTTCTTTTTTTTTTTTTGAGTCGTAGTCTCACTCTGTCACCCAGACTGAAGTGCAGTGGCACGCTCACGGCCACTGCAGCCTCGACCTGCTGGGCTCAGGCGATCCTTCCACCTCAGCCTTCCAAGTAGCTGGAACTACAGGTGCAAGCTATTGCACCTGGCTTATTTTTTGATTTATTGTAGAGACAAGGGCTCACCAAGTTGCCCAGGCTGGTCTTGAACCCCTGAGCTCAGGTAATCCTCTAGCCTCAGCCTCTCAAAGTGCTGGAGTTACAAGCTTGAGCCACTGTGCCAGGCACAATGTATTTCTAAAAGTTTTATAAGTTTGATTTTTTAATTTTTATTTTATTTTATTTTTTGAGTTGGAGTCTCACTCTGTCGCCCAGACTGGAGTGCAGTGGCCACTCCCGGCCACCGCAGCCTTGACCTGCTGGGCAACGGCGATCCTTCTGCCTCAGCCTTCCAAGTAGCTGGAACTACAGGCGTGCACTACCACACCCGGCTAATTTTTTGATTTATTGTAGAGATGAGGTCTCGCCAAGTTGCCCCGGCGGGTCTCGAACCCGCGGGCTCAGGCAATCCACTCACCTCAGCCTTCCAAAGCGCGGGATTACAGACTGAGCCACCGAGCCTGGCTTGTTTGGTTTTTAAAAGTTGTATTACATGAGTACTTTAAAGGGACTTTAAAATTCAATGGAAATGGGGACAAAAGGTAGACTAGCATCACAGGACTTGGGGGAGTGATGCGTCATGGATCTGGCATACCTTTGAGGGTGTTCTGAAATGAAATAGCAGTGATGACTGCACAATTAAAAACCAATACCCAAACCCACTGAATTATAACCAAAATTAGGGTATTTGCCTTGTGACCACAGGAGACTTAATAAGTTGGTGCCATGTGGCCTCCAGTGTCTTTAGCAATGAAATGGACCTAATAATATTCACCTCCATAAAGTAAAGGTAAAATAAAGTGTTAGGATGCTTTTTTAAAAATCCTGTGGAGAATACACATGCAAAGTAGATCTTTTTTTTTTGGAAATGAATTCTCTTTTTATCTTTTGTGTCATAATATTCTAGATCACATTTGAATTCTCACATTTATTCACTGCTTGGGTGAAGGTCGGTCACAGTCCCAAAAGCAGGGCCACAGAGATGAAAAGGACATGGCCGGTCCTCTAACCATCCCTGCAGTGGCACTGGGGTCTCACTGTCTCTTTCTCCATATCTGGCTGCCTCATCATCTTGTCATCTTCTTGGGGCAGGGCTCAGGTCTGGTCTCATTCACATTGAGAGTGCCCTCAAAGCTGCCACTGACTCATAATTGGTGCTTAATCACTGTTCTTTACTTGACTTGGCCTAAGCTTTTTTCTTTTTTCTTTTTTTTTTTGAGTTGGAGTCTCACTCTGTCACCTAGACTGGAGTGCAGTGGCACGCTTCTGGCCACCGCAGCCTCGACGTGCTGGGCTCCGGTGATCCTTCTGCCTCAGCCTTCTAGGTAGCTGGAACTACAGGTGTGCACTACCACACCAGGCTAATTTTTGATTTATTGTAGAGATGAGGTCTCGCCAAGTTGCCCAGGCAGGTCTCAAACCCGTGGACTCAGGCAGTGTACTCATCTTGTCCTTCCAAAGTGCTGGGATTACAGGCTGAGCCATCTTTTGATGAAGAGAAAATAGAAAGGAAACTAGGAAACTTTTGAGCCTCCTTTGAGTTAAGTCTTGGTTGGCACTTTATATGTATTTTCTCATGGAATTCTCACTACAGCACTAATGCATCACTTTCATTTTACAGATGAGAAAAATAGGTCAGTATGAATGACTCCAGAAGGGTGACTGCTTAGACTGAAGGCCTTTCCATAGTCAGGATCCTGGCTGCTGGCCATCACAGTCTTCTCTGCCTTTTTCACTCTGGCAGGCACCATGTCAAGGACTTTTCAGGCTTGGCCCTGGGACTTCCCATCTTAAAAATAAGAAAACTGGACTTAGATGAGATGATTGACTTCCACTGCCATGGAGTGAGCGACAGAGCTGGGTCTCACAAATCAGTGTGTGCCTTTACCCACCATGGAGCACAGTGGTTCTCGGGTTCTCAACCTGTGTCAGCATGGAGGATTATCTGTGTGTTCACATGCGCACACACACAAACGCCTCGGGCTCTCCAGGACCTAGACTGGTGGCTCTTTTTTTTTTTGAGTTAGAGTCTCACTCTGTTGCCCAGGCTGGAATGCAGCGGCTTGCTTACGGCCACTGCATCCTTGACTTGATGGGCTCAGGCCTTCCTTCTGCTTCAGCCTTCCAAGTAGCTGGAACTACAGGTGCATGCCACCACACTTGGCTAATTTTTTTTTCCTGATTTATTGTAGAGAGGAGGTCTCACCATGTTACCCAGGTTGGTCTTGAACCCCTGGGCTCAGGGAGTCCTCTTGCCTCTGCCTCCCAAAGTGGTCTCAGTTCTGACTGCACTTTAGAGTCAAGTGTCACTGACTGAAGCAGAACCGCTGCTTCTTTGTTCTTACTCTTTAAGTACAGGTTCCAGGGCACCACCCCAGGCCAGTCACATTAGAACTGGGGGAGGGTAAGCCTTTCTAGGTGTCATGATCTGGCTGGAGTTGAAAGAACGGTGCTGGGAACTACCCAGAGTTTAAGTGCCTTCTCCCATCTCTCATATTTAGGCAGAATGCCTTTAATTAGCTCCTTGAATGAGGTAAGTGTCTTGCAGGGTTATTTGTGGATTCCCGTGATGTTTGGCCTTGTCCCGTCCCTGGAACATAAGAAGTGCTGAAAGTGAAATTCGGGCTGGATGTGGAGCGTGGGTTTCAGAAAGCTGATTTTTCTAAGTAGCATCATGTTAATAGGTAGTAATACAGTTAAATTCCCCTCACAACTGGTGGGGTAAATTCCTTTGGTCAAGATGAAAATGCAGAATGTGAAGGGTGGTAAACAGTGGTATGACAGGAAGCCTGGGGTTTCAGGAGAGCACAACTAAGTGCTCCCTGTGTCTCTTCCTGTGAGTGAACAGCCGAAAGGTGGCCACGCTCAGGAAACCCATGAGCACTTCAAGGGCCTGATTTCCTGAGGCCTCCAGGGGACCTTTTTGCTTTGTACATTTGTTCCGACAGTCACTGTGGAAGATCCCTCAACCATTGCATGGATCTCTCGAGAGGATCTATTGACCTCCAGAAACCTTCCTGAGGGCCTGACACATTCAAAACACAGGGTCCCCAGGTCCAAGGCTGTGGACAGTGGGCTCTCAGTGTTTCTCAGTCTGTTTTCATTATTGCTCCCACCCCCATGCTTCTTACACTTTTTTTTCCTTAATCACCCTCCATAGATGTACTATCTACTGGCTTATGTACTGTGTATATATTTGTGCTGTGTACTGACAAAAAGAGTAAGATTCCCCCATCCCCAGATCCCACTTTGGCCCTTCTGGGGGCGCTGTCTAAAGTCATGTCCCTGCCACCGGCACTTCATCTGACAGCAGGCTCAGTGATTCCTGATCAGGGACATGGAAGCGTCCCAGGAGACCTTAGCACTTTCCTGTCCTAGGGCTTTGCTGCTTAAGCCCTGGCTGAGGGCTCTTTGCTGAAGCAGGGATTCCAGTAAGAACACAGACCTAGCTTGCTTGCTGGGAGTGCTGTGTCATGGTTTCAGCAGGAGTATGCAGAGCAGGTCTCATGCATGGCCTGCTACACTTTTGGAGGAATGAGAAAAGAAAGCTCGGCACACATATCTAGGAGGTGACTGTCAGCATGTGCATTCACAGGGCACACACACCAGGATCAGGAGAGCATGGCTCGTGGGACCTACCCCGCCCCCCATCCCGTGATTCTGGAACTGCAATGCAGTGTGTTTTTGTGCCTTTATCTGTGCTAGTGCCTTTTTTGTGTTTGTTACAGGAAACATCCAGGATGTGGGAACATTGTGACATTTGCACAATTTTTATTTATTGCTGTGGAAGGCTTCTTCTTTGAAGCTGATTTGGGAAGGAAGCCACCAGCTATCCCAATAAGGTATGATACATTGAAGTCTCTTTTAGCTTTTGGTTTTTTAAAAAAGTTAACAAGTGGTACCTGTATAAGAGGAGTAGAAGACATCCTTTTATAAAATTTATGTTAAAAATATTGACAAAATAATCATTCCTTTTCTGAATTTAATATGTTGTGAAATTCCAGGGAGCCTATTTTCAGAATAAAATTTCTGCCACAAGATTTAAGTAACTGTAATGAACAAGAGAGAAAGAGAGAGAGTGTGTTTATATCGCATAGGGTCAGTCAGGAGGCCTAGTGACCATAAATTTTTCCTAGTTATGTATGTGGTCTTCTGTGTTGGTGAAGCTATCAAACATGCTAAAAGAGTGGTATCATTGTTACTTTTACAAAAGGAATGACTTTTGGATATAAGTGGAGGTGGTGGCTTTACAACATTGTGAATGTACTAAATGTTATGTGAATTTCACCTCAATTAAAAGAAAATGAATGACAAGCTAAGTCAGGATCCATGATGCCATTAGTCTGGAGTTGCATAAGCACCCTCATGGGGCCCAACATAAGGCGGGTAGCTCTTGTGACAATAAGTGTATTGAAAACTCTGCGTTCCTGAGGGAGAGGCTTGTGATGAAAATGGGACCCACCTCCCTGTGAGCATTTAGTCGAATAGTATCATGCCCTCTGAGAGTGACATCCTTGTGCAAATGTATCCGAGTACTAAAGTTTCAGTGGGGTTCTTCCCCAGTGTTCCTGAACAGCCCGTTATGGAAAATCTGCCTGAATTTTGTTATTAATATTATACTTTCAAAGTGTCCCAATATGAAGCTAAATATTCTGAATACTTTAGGTTTTCACTGGCCTGCATTTGCTTTACAGCAGGCGTCAGCGTGATTGACCCCAATGACCTTGCTTACTCTCAGGATCTCACTCCATTGCCTCCACCACTGGTGTAGGTCAGGAAGGATGCACGGTCACAGTGACTTTTATAGCAGTGTACTAGCATACATTGTCACCCTGACTTTTACAACAGTGTTCCAGCATGCACTGTCACCCTAACTCTTACACTAGTATTCTAGTGTGCAGTCACCCTAACTTTTATAAGTGTTCCAGTGTGCACTGACATCCTAACTCTTACAACAGTATTCTAGTGTACACTGCCACCCTAACTTTTACAACAGTATTCTAGAGTGCACTATTACCCTAACTCTTACAATAGTGTTCCAGTGTACACTAGCTCCCTAACTTTTGCAACAGTATTTTTGTGTGCAGTCACCCTAACTTATAGTCGTGTTCTAGTGTGCACTGTCACCCTAACGCTTACAATAGTGTTCCGGTGTGCACCATCACCCCAACTTTACAATACCGTTTTAGTGTGCAGCTGTCACCCTAACTTTTGCAACAGTGTTCCAGCATGCCCTGAACCCCTAGTTGAACAATAGTATTCCAGTGTGCACTGTTATCCTAATTTTTACAACAGTGTTCTAGTGTTCATAGTCACCCTAACTTTTGCAAGTGTTCTATTGTGCACTGTCACCCTAACTTTTACAAGTGTTATAGTTGCACCATTACCCTAACTTTACAATACTGTTCTAGTGTGCAGCTGTCACCCTAACTTTTACAACAGTGTTCCAGCATGCCCTGAAACCCCAGTTGTACAATAGTGTTTCAGTGTGCGGTTACCCTAACTTTTACAACAGTATTCTAACATGCATGGTTACCCTTTTACAGTAGTGTTCTAGCACGCACTGTCTCCCTAACTTTTACAACAGTGTTCAAGCATTCACTGTCACCCTAACTTTTACACCATAAGTGTTCTAGCATTCACTGTCACCCTAACTTTTACAACAGTGTTCCTAGTTGTACAATAGTGTTCCAGTGTGCGTGGGTACTGTAACTTACAACAGTGTTTTAGTGTGCACTGTCACTGCAACTTTTACAACAGTAATCTAGCTTTCTCTTTCACCCTAACTTTGACAGCAGTGTTTTAGTGTGTACTATCACCTTGACTTTTACAACACTGTTCTAGCATGCACTGTCACCCTAACTTTGACAGCAGTGTTCTAGCTTGCTCTTTCACCCTAACTTTTACAACAGCGTTCCAGCATGCACCGTCACCTTGACTTTTACAACAGTGTTCTACTTTGTTCTCACCCTAATTTTTGCAACAGGGTTCTAGCGTGCACTGTCACCTCAACTTTTACAACAGTATTCTAGAGTGTGCTGTCACCCCAACTTTTGCAACAGTGTTCTAGTGTGCACTTGTACCTTGACTTTTACAACAGCGTTCTAGCATGCACTGTCACCCTAATTTTTATAACAGTGGCCCACCTTACTCTAACTTTTGTAACAGTGTTAGGCTGGGCTTGGTGGCTTAGCCTGTAATCCCACGCTTTTGGGAGGCTGAGGAGAGTGGATTGCCTGAGCCCACGGGTTCGAGACCCGCCTGGGCAGGCGAGACCTCATCTCTACAATAAATCAAAAAATTAGCCGGGCGTGGTAGCGCATGCCTATAATTCCGGCTACTCGGAAGGCTGAGGCGGAAGGATTGCCGGAGCCCAGCAGGTCGAGGCTGCGGTGGCCGGGAGCGGCCACTGCACTCCAGTCTGGGCGACAGAGTGAGACTCCAACTAAAAAAAAAAAACAGTGTTAGACCACCTGCTCTAACAGTAACCTACCTTGCTCTAACTTTTACAGCAGTGTTCTAGCGTGCACTGTCACCTTAACTCTTACAGCACCTTAACTTTTACAGCAGCGTTGCTCTTTCACCCTAACTTTTGCAACATTGTTCTATTGTGCATTGTCACCCTAACTTTTACAAGTGTTCCAGCATGCACTGTCACCTTGACTTTTACAACAGTGTTCTAGTGTGCACTGTCCTAGCTTGCTCTTTCACCCTTTTACCTCAGCGTTCTAGCATGCACTGTCAACCTAACTTTTACAATAGTGTTCTAGCTTGCTCTTTCACTCTAACTTTTACAACAGTGTTGTAGTGTGCACTTTCACCCTCATTTTTGCAAGTGTTCCAGCTGCTGATCTCACTGCTGCTTCACTTCCACCAGTTTATCCTGCTGCCCCCTCTCTGTGGTTACTGTGATGTCAGAATATTTTCCGTACTCCTCATCCCACCCTCTGAGATGGCTGTGACCTTTCCCTAACAACTATACTCCCATGCATGTTCTATGCATGGTAGCTATTTTTTTTTATTTGAAACAATAATGAAAGTTATGCTTATGTCTTTCATCCCTACAAGTGATTTCTAGGCAGTGATAAATGGGCAACAGTGTGGAATAATTGAATTAATTATCCTGAAAGACCTTGAAAAACTGTGTTTCTCCACGTGGCATGTCTTCAAGATAGGACTAAGAAAATTTGGCAAGAAACTTTGTGATGTTGCCAGTAGTATATGATTTAGAAGCTGCTGCTGGTAATTTTGCAAGTGTGCTCACTGTCAAGCTCTTTGAACGTTCTAGGTTGTGTTTGTGCAGCCTTTTCTTGGCTGCCTGGCATGGTATATAGCTCCATGTCTAACCAGCAACACAGAATTAGTTCTTGTCAGGAAGTTCATTTAGGACTCAGTGTGTCACTTTCTCCAGATGTGCAGAGGGGAAGATGGTTGGGAACTGGTCAGAGATCAACATTGCCTGAAGAGTGTGTATCCACTTAGTTACCTTTGCCCTGCATTCTTAGCCATTTCTTTTAAGTATGATTTTTCCTCTTACTGAATATATTAATTTGAATCACATGAAATTGCTGATATTCAGCCCTTTTTGATGTTTAAAAATGTAGCAGTTTTATATGGTTTAGCATAATATGTGTGAAAAACATGTATTTTCTTTCTTATTTATTCATTTTTGAGTTGGAGTCTTACTTAGTCGCTCAGGCTAGAGTGCAGTGGCATGCTCACAGCCACTGCAGCCTCGACCTGCTGGGCTCAGGTGATCCTTCCACTTCAGCCTTCCAAGTAGCTGGAACTACAGGCATGCGCCACCATGCCTGGCTACTTTTTGATTTATTGTAGAGATGAGTATGGGTGGCCATTTATGGAGGGCCAGCCCCTTCAGAGAGATTTAGAGAGTCCCTAGAAGGTGGGGCAGTGTCGGTGATTATTCTGGAGAAATAAAGAGAAAGAAAGAGAAAGGGGGAGAAAGAAAGAGACTGGATTCTGTCTAGTGCAGAAGCCAATTCTGTAGTAGGTACAGATGTTGAAAGAAAGATGGAGGGATAGATATAAAGAGAAAGAAAGTAGACAGCTGTTCAGTGAAATGAGCAGAAGCCGATTTAATGGGGCAGACCATAAGCCTTTTATCCTAAAGTTTCACAGGCAAGATCACAAGATTTTTGCGTGAACACAAAGCCAGTTGGATGAGGGGCGTCCCCCCACCCACCAGATGTTTCCTCAAGCATGAGGAAGGACAGTCCCAATATTATTTCACTGTTCCTTATGCTTGGTTAATGTTCCTCACAAACAATACAACAATTCTAACATCATAATGTTCTAATAAACAATAACTTCTAAAACGTATGCATTCCCAACACCTAATGACTGACTTAAATCCTAATACCTTTCTACTCTGTGCTAATTTTACCTGTACTATAAAAAACTCTTAATTATAGCTCAAACCAGTTCCTAAAGAATGTGGCCCAGTCCAAAGATCATGTGGGGCCATTTACAGGAACAGTTGATTATAATCTCTTAACAAAATGGCTATTCTCAAGTCCTATGTATCTATCTTAATTTCTATAAAAGTTTCTAATTCCTAATCCTAATATATAAAACTGATCATCAGTAATAAAGCTTCTAAAATAAAACCCAAATACGAACTAAATATACTAGGGTCAAAACTGCAAGTAATAGAAAGTGGGAACAATGAAATTTCTAATGTTAGCTTTATTCTTATAAAACCTTAAAGTATCATGTTTGATCATGCTTGAACTAACATGATTCCCTCACGTAGCATGACCTATTCTACAATACTTTCTATGAATAAAATAAATTCAGTTTCTATTATAAGTAGAAAAAAACCTACATTAATTGTAGCTAAAGACAGTTTAAAAGAATGCAGCCCAGCCCAAAGTGGACACTGGGCCCTTAGGAATGTGGCCCAGTCCAAAGTTCATGCTGGGCCATTTCTGGTAACTCCAGATAATCATCTATACCATCTAAAGCTGGAAACAGCTCTCTAAATGTATATATTAATTCTACAAATATACTTTTAAATCTTATAAAGAAGCTTTTATCATATATAAGGCTCCCAGATGTGACCTGAGCTTGAACTGTGTTAAGTTTAAAGCCGAAACTGCAGTCTGTGAGAAACGGGAACAGTGAATCCCTTAGAGTCAGCCATGCCTGTCATATTCTCAGAACTTTATGCTTAGATCATCAAAGTCCCTGCTAGTGGGTCATGCCAAACAACAAAGAAGGGAGGAGGGAATGGGCCTTCAGCTCCTGAATGCAACCTGGTGGTCTCAGGGTCCGCAGCCCACCTGGATCCCTAACGCTCAGGTGGACCTCCACGGCCGGCTCCCAACAGATGAGGTCTTGCGAAGTTTCCTTGGCTGGTCTCGAACCCTTGGGCTCAGGCAATCAATCCTCTTGCATCCACCTCCCAAAGTGCTGGGATTATAGGCATGAGTCATCGCACCCAACCAAGACATGCATTTTCTAGATCACAGTGGTGACAAATAATCTTTTTGTAAGATTATTTGTTTAATTTATTTGTTCATAATTGTTTGTATTTATCCCTTTATCTTTCTGGGTTATTAGCGTTATCGGATTTTTTAAAGGTTTTGTTTTTATTAAGATTTATAAACTTTCAAAAAACAGGGACCTGATTTTAAATAAAAATCTGTATAAGTCAAATCATGTCCTCATTAATTTGGAGGCCACTAGGTTCAGAATGTGGGACAATTTTAACAGTTGCTAGGCCGAAAGTAACCCTTGACTTAGCAAATCTTTTCTCTAGAAATAGTAAACATTAATAGTATAAACAAATGTATAGAGAAAATATTTGAGAGAATTAATCATTTCCAAGTTCTTCAGAAGTATATGAAATACAAAGGATTAATACAATGACAAATTATCCACTCACTTTAAAAAAAACCTATTGATATATTTTAGGTAACATTTTTAAAGCCTAGTTTTAAGGTGGTGTGTATTCTTGAAAATACTAAAATAGTGTTTCTTTAAACATACTCAAAGTTTTCACATGTTAGTCTGGTTTTGTGAAGTATTTTGATATGTACTCAGCATTTGACTTCACATGATACTAATGATACGATCTTTTAATGCAGAGGAAGTAAGCAAATGCTTTTTAACCAGACTGCGTATTTCTTTCTATGCTTGACTTTTTGGAAAGAGCAGATTTTGTGTGAAGTGCTGTTCTCTCTGCGTTCCAGGTACTACGCCATTATGGTGACCATGTTCTTCACTGTCAGCGTGGTGAACAACTATGCTCTGAACCTCAACATTGCCATGCCCCTGCATATGATATTTAGATCTGTAAGTGCTTCCAACTCAACACGTGTATGTTTCTCTGAAACATATAATTAAGTAAGTAGATTGTACATATGGCAAAAGTAGGAAAATCTTGGCAATAAGTGAAGTCTGGCCTATAAAACAGGTTTGTGAATGAGTGAGCAAGGAATGGCTTTCCTCTGGGAAGTGTGGCACAAAGAGAGAAGGATGAAAGTAGATGGCTTGCTTTTTTCATCTGAGATATAATGAGTAATTAATAAAAATCTGGGAAACAGATTTTACCTTTGATTGCCTATATCAGGTTGGTTTTATATTCCAACACGGCTATTAGTGTGATTTAACTTCTTATCACTTCTTGTTTTTTCTGTAAAATTACATTCACTACTAGTACCTAAGAGATACTTGTCTTTTCTGATTTTGTTTAAGTGGAGAGATAATAAAGGGAAATTCTTGATAAAGGTGGGGTTTCTCCCCAAGCAGCATGAGTTCCCTTCTGTACCTAATGTGTGGTGGGAGACCTGTGTGCAGTGTGTCTGTAAATAAGAACAGAGTGTTCCCTGAAGCACAGGAGAGACTTTAAGGGTAATGTAGTCAGAAATGCAGAGGACTGTAGAGTGCGTGATCCTTGTAAGATGACATCTCCACATGTGGACTGAGGTTTTTGTAAGATTGAATATGTTCTTGAAGGGACTTTTTCAGAGCTAGTTGCAGTGATTAAGGTGAACTTCAAAGCACTGAACACGTGATAGACTTTCAATAAACACTTGTTGATTGATTGATACCAGAGATCCTTGCATGATTTCTTTCATTAAAGCCAGGGGTAAGGAGAAGCTTATTAAAAACTCTTATAGACTAGATAGATGGAAAATTTGACACAAGTCTGTAATATTTATTCCTGCTAGCCGTAGCTTCACCTATGACCAATCACAGTTGACTCTTGGACAGCATGGGTTTAAACTGTGTGGGTCTACATACATGTGGATTTTTTCAACCAAATGCAGATTGAAAATATAGTATTCCTAGGATGTGAAACTGCATATAAGAAGGACCAACTTCAGGATTTGAGTGTTTGCAGCTTTTGGCACAGGAAGTCTTGGAACCAGTTCCCCAAGTATACCGGGGAATGACTGTGTTCAGAGTTGATCACTTTTATTCTCATTGTCATCTTTAAAAGATTTTATTCTGCATAATAGATTTTTATGGTCTATGCTTTTTGCAATTGTTGGTACAACTGAATTTTATTAATTATCCATTGTAGCCTCCTCCATTCATGTTTCCCCTTATTCATGTTCATGTTCATCCTGGATTATATCATTTTCATTCTCTGATGCCCTGAAACTCCTGTTACTGTTGTCTTCTTTTGCAGGGCTCTCTAATTGCCAACATGATTCTAGGAATTATCATTTTGAAGAAGAGGTAAGCAACACACTTTTGTTTTATGTTTAGAAATGATGTCCTAGTCACCATCCATAAGCTAGCACCTGATGTCCTTTCCCATAGTGGTGATAAGGTTGCTGCTGGCCATCTACATGTTTTCTCTTTTCCTAGTACTTTCTTTAACAGTGATGCACCAAGATGCAGTCTCCTGAGGTGGTTGGCCAGGTAGGAGGCCACCTGTGGCTCCTGTGTGTCGGCCTGTTCAGCTCTTGTCGCCACTGAACCTTAGTGGCACACAATCCTGTGAAGCCAGCTGGTCTGAACTTTAATGTGTAGTATGGCTGCACCAGCCACATGTGACTACATCTACAATACTCCGGGTTCAATGAAACTGAATGTCTAGTTTCTGTCTCATTAGTCACATTTTAAATGCTCAGTAGCCACATGTGGTTGGTTGCAGCCATATCGGAGAGCCCACATGTGGAGCATTCCAGCATCCCAAAAGTTCTGCTGGACAGTGCTTGCCTAGAACATGCCTGTCAGTACAACAGAATGAACCAAGGAATAATCAGTACTAAAAAGGAAATTCCTAACAAAGGCCAAATAGCCAAGAAGATGAAATGAAAGATTCATAACTGTCCTTTGTGACTGTCACCAGTGACTTTCTGTGGGTTAAGGATGGAAACTACCAGAAGTGCCTGGGATGATTTTTCAGAGTATGTGTCTCCCACCTTCATTGTGACCTCGCCTCTCACTCCTAAGGAGGAGGGACACTAAGGGGAGAGAACTTATGTTCATGTTCATCCTGGACTATGCCGTTTTCATTCTCTTATGCTGAAAAATTTCACTGTCATCATTAAGACCAAAATTGCCCAAATCAATGGCAGCTTTTCGATGTGCTCAGTATCCAGCCTCAGCATTAGAATGCTCTCTGCCAGTTTGGAAAGTGGCTGTCGGCTCACTGGCTCTCAACGTGAGAACTTAGAATTTTTGGTAGTAGGGCTGTGTCCCTCAAAGCACAGTAGTTCTATCTTCGTAGGCGCCTTATCATGGACCCTTTGTCTCTTGAGGCTTGTGTTTTCCTTGAAAAATACCATTGTAGTTGATTTCTTTCTCCTAGGTTCTCTTGAGTTAAACATACAAATGTAACGGTCAGGTCTATTACATTTGAAGTGACCATTGTGCTTCTTGATAGCATAGAATTCACTTTGGGACAGGCCTGTGGTCCTTCCCAATCGTTGATTTTGGCCCATAACAGGAATATATATTATAAAAGGAATAGTATTCTCCTGATATTGCCCCAGAATGTCAGGGGACTTTCTTAAACATCTGTTTCCCTTAAGAATTTTTTTGAGTCTGTCATCTGGAATCTATATATCTAAGCCTTTCTATATGTCTCACCCATAGAGCAGGCATTTTCATCAATTAACTATTCAATGTAGTGAGTGAGTAACTCGTTACCCTTTTGTTTATCTTGGGTAGAGGTCCCTCAGGATCATAGTGTGCTCCTTGTTCTGGGATTTGAAGACTAAATCTATATTTACCATACCGTGCCTTCCATTATTTTATGGCCTCTTTCCAGGTGGAAGAGCTTCATTGTTTTTGTAACCACCTACAGTAATGCCTGCTTACTCCCCTTCCTCTCTTCTCTAGCATGGTCCCCCTGGCCCTTTTAGTTTCTTTCTTTGCTTCTTAGTTCTCCTGGCCTTTTATGAGGTTCTGTGACCAGAACAATATGATGTATTTGAGTAGGAAACCTCAAAAGGTTCATCTTCTACGTTTAATTTGTATTAATTCTTGCCTAAGGCCTTTTACTCATCAAGAATCTGAGAGGAATGCTAATGATACTAATTTAGTTAATGTGAAACGCCACTGTTAGTACTGCCCATAGTTCTGTAAATTGACAGAATAGTCCTCCCTCTTATCCAGCTATGCCAACATTTAAAATCAGCATCGAGTCATTCAGATTTTTTAATAATACCCTCCCCAGAGTGTGGCTGATTGGGTCGTTTTCTGAGTATTGGATCCTGCTTCTTGGGCCGATAGTTTGTTCTTTCTTTTGTACTGGGTGAGTCTTATTATTCAGATTTGGGACCCCTAAAGATAGAAACAATAGACTGCAACTAAGACTGGATCAGGCTTTCATTTGGATTCTTGAGAGCAGGATGGAACATCATGTCTGGTCTGTATCTGCTTCTGATGAAATAATCAATTGGTCAGCAAACTATTGGAAAAAGACCAAGGAAAAGTGTTTAGAAACCAATCAGTATCCTGATTCCTTCATGGACATACGTAAATGGACTCCACTGGCAAGTGATCCTCTCATATTTTCATGACTTGTACTTCCTTACACCATCTGACTGTAAATACCATTTGGAAATTTGTATCTGTGTTTTTTCTAAGGTGTTTTTGTTCTCATTTTTGCAGATACAGTGTATTCAGATATACCTCCATTGCCCTGGTGTCTGCAGGGATATTTATTTGCACTTTCATGTCAGCAAAACAGGTGGTAAGAATTAGCTCACAAGTCATCTACATTCACAGCTTGTCACTGGGGCCCAGTTTCTAGGCACTCATTAATAATAAAATTAATTCAGATCCTTATGAATATAAGGATTCTGAAAGATAAGAGTGGACAGAAATGGGTGACGTAACTGTTTCCCCTGTACCTGGGCACCTTGCATGTAGTCCTGCTCTCTGTACCGAGTATATTTTCTTATTTCCTAGACTTCCCAGTCCAACTTGAGTGAGAATGAAGGATTCCGGGCCTTTGCGTGGTGGTTACTAGGCAAGTATAGTGATTATAAAGAAGCTAATTGCCTCTGCAGTTGTGTTTGCTGAGATTTCTCTTTTAAGAGACACATTCTTGGCAAGAAGCTTTAGCTAAACAAATGATGCCATGGAAGAGAGGCACCTGGGATCATGTCTCTCTGAACCTTAGAGCTCAAGAAAGGAAACAAAGCACGTGTCCTCACTCAAGGCAGTGTGTTCTGTAACCCGGATCCGTGCATTTCTTGGTCGCCACTGGTGTGGAAAGCAGTTTCTACTTGCCCATCCCACTCTTACCGTTATCCATCTCTTCACAGTCTGCCTGCCAAGTTGGAGCTCATACAAGAGAAGGGAGCATTAGAGCATTCGCTCTCCAACTTTCCAAGGGACCCATTTCTAAATCTTAGACTCATTTTCTTCATAGGTTAGCTATTCCATATGGCAGTGTTCCCAAACCTGACTGACCATCTGAATCTCCTGGGGAATTGTTTACAATACAAGGATCTCTGTGTGGGATTAATTAGGTGACTCCTAGAGCTCTGTTCTCATGTCGTTTGATGTGGAGGTGAAATTCTTTCCAGGTGCTTTCAGTGATGACAATAACAGATTGAAACTGCCCAGTGGAGGAGAAATTAGCAATAAAAGAGCTGTGTTCTCCTTGCTTCTTGGCTTTGAAACTATCCCTTCAGCTTGCTGTCTGAACATAAAGAGACCTTCATGAGCTATTAGAAAAACACCCAATGGCAAAAATTTGCAAAGGATAGGAACATAACCATCACGGGGAAAAAATAATGTCCAGTAATTCTATGTTCAGCCTTACTAGTCTAGTAATCAAAGAAATGCAAATTGAAGCCAAAATGTATTAAGTTTGTATTTTTGGCCTATCATATTGGCAAGATGATTAAAAGTCATATTCATTGCTGCTGAGGATGCAGTAAGACAGCTATTTTTATATTAACCTGTTTAGGGTGTAAATTGACACAGATTTCCTGGAAGAAGATTGTGTATAGAGTTTTTTAAATATCTACAGCCTTTGACTCAGTAATTTCACTTATGAGAGTTTATCCTAAGGCGATATCAATATTTGTTTAAAGATCCATATATAAGGATGTACATTGATTTTAATGATGAAACAATTAGAAAAAACCATTCTCATAAGATATTTAAGTATGGTACATCTGCATGATAGAGTAATATACAGTCATTAAATCATGCTTTTGAAAAAATTTTGATGCATGATTTGAAGAAAATGACCAGGAAAAAGATGATTAAAATAGCAAGATATGAAACTGTATATACAATCTGATCCTGTCTTAGTGTAAAAAATATTTACATAAATGAATATAAAGAGATGTAGAAAACTATTAAGGACTGGATGATAATATCGTGGTTGGTTTTTACTTTTTAAAATTTGTACATGTTCTGTAATTAGTCTGCAATAGCTATAGAACTTTAAACAATCAATAAATGTTTTTTAAGAAAACACGTGGGAATTACAAATGCAAGCATCTTACAACCCGATGTTTGTCTTCCAGGTATTGGGGCACTGACTTTTGCTCTTCTGATGTCAGCAAGGATGGGTCTATTCCAAGAGACCCTATACAAGCAATTTGGAAAGCACTCCAAGGAGGCTTTGTTTTATAACGTAAGCAACTTCTGATGTACTTCAGGGGTCTGTTTATCATTAGTAAACGGCTTTGAGTTCCATAGACTGAAGTGCTTTTGATAGACTCCTGCAGGTGTGCGTTCCGAGCCATGGTTCTTGACACGAAATGATCATGATCAATCACAGTGAATAAAATGAGTCTGTTAACCAGGGTCAATCCCAAAGGATAAGCAACCCTAACCTGCAGCATTCATATAAGAGAAATCAGGCTAAAACCTAGAAAAAGAAACTCCCCCTAGCAGCATGCTAGGGGGAGTTTGTGCAGGAGCCTGTGGGATATCAGGGAGGCTGGGGTTGGGAGGAGTAAGTCCCCCAAGTAGGCTGTGATCATCTAATAGAGTTTAATTGACTAACGCTACATGCTTACACCTCCCAATTCTAACTACCAACCTAGTCCCCCTCCCCCAGTCTCCTCTTCCCCTTCCTCCTCTCCTGGTGGAATACCCAGGGCACGGCACCTCTCGAGCAGGGCGAGGGATTCCTTCTCCAAGGATTTCTTCATGGCCAGGGTTTGCACTGGAGCTGCAAACAAGCAATCAAGATACCGGATTAGAGTCAGAGGATGTGGCTGGGAATTTTTAAAAATTAAACATTTTATATGGTTCTCATCTTGTGTTTAAAGCAGTGCCTGGCACATAGTAACTGCTTAGTAAATACTGGATGTGAGTCACTGCCATGTGGTGGTGGGGGGGTTGCTGTTAGCAACCTTAACCTCAACTTATCTGTTTTTATCCTCCTCTTTGCCGCCTTTTTATTCTTTCATTTCTTTTTCCGTGACTTCATATTGTCCTCAGTATCTTTCCCTACTAGTTTCCTAAACTCCCTAAAATCCGCTTTTGCATTCTTTTTTAATTTTAAGTCTATTATGGTCACCTAACCTTTCTCAAAAGTAGTAAAATGTAACAAATCCTTTTGTGCAGAATGGTGATGTGTTTAAATTTCTCCATTCCTTCTTTTTGAGGAAGGGATGCTGGCCATCAGATTCCATAAGGGCAAAAACCATAATTTGAGGGTTTAAACCATGCCATACGTTGTCAAGTGGTCAGAAGCACTGTATGCAGTTAACTTAGGTTTTCTTTGCTTTTCTTTATATTGTTTGTCAAATGAGTTATACAACTTTTAGCCACTGTCAAGCTGCTCTAGTTTTTCTGTAATGTTTTTCCCTTAAATTTATGTAGCCTGTTTCTTTCCGTAGCACGCCCTTCCACTTCCTGGTTTTATCTTCTTGGCTTCTGATATTTATGACCATGCAGTTCTGTTCAATAAGTCTGGTGAGTTTGGGAATATACAGTAGAATTACCTGAACGTTTCTGAAATGAAGTCTCACTCTTGCCTTAACCACAGCTTTTTGCATGATCTAAAGTTGTCCTCTCAAAGCTGCCTTCTCACAGGAGTATAGTGCTATGAGTCATTGCTATCACTTGCAGCAGCAAAAGCTTTTTACAGGGCTTCTCAGCTGTTTACAAATGAAGTGGGAGAATATCTTTGAATTTTCTATGGTACTTTGGCATGTGTGTATTTGCGTCTGAATGTGGAATGTTTGACGTTTTGAGAATGCCAACGAATAGTAAGACCCTGCAGAGTGGAGCCTGCCACGTTGGTACAGTACAGCTCACTCTGTTGCTGTTCTCTCTTGAAAGGCAGAGCTGCTCTCAGGTCCAGCCTGAGCAGCCTTGGAGCACAGCAAGAGAGTGCAAAATGATGACAGTGATAGGTGAGATCGACAGCAGGAATGAGCAAAATTAGTTTCAAGTGTCTGCAGTATAAGCCAGCTATTACTTTTTAAAATGACCATTTAATAAAAATTATCTGTCAATTGTCAATTAACTTGAAATAAATCACTTAAGTGATCTTGTGACTAGATATAGAGTGTTATACAGACAGATGGACACACAAGAAGCAAACATTTTACAAATCTAGACTTAAATTACCCAGGCATGGTGGCACATGCCTGTGGCCCCAGCTACTTGGGAGTCTGAGGTGGGAAGATCACTTGAGCCCCAGAGTTCGAGGATGCAGTGAGCCAGGATTATACCACTGCACTCCAGCCTAGATGACAGAGCAAGCCCCTGTCTCAAAAAATAACCAAATAAAATAAAATCCCCTCTTTATGATGCACACACCTCAAATGGCAGTTGCATTGTTGGAGTGACAAGTCCTCAGGAAGCATTTGCCATCTGGGCATGAGTTGTGACGTTATGACTGGTCCCTGCATTTGTAGTGTTGCCTCTGCCATCTGGTAAAAAAAAAGTGTGTTGAGCATAGTGTGTAAGAACGTTTGTAAGACGCCGAGTGACAAACACAATTGTTTCTAATAATTCACACATAGCAAAGCACTGTTGAAATCAAAATATCCAATTTCATGGAATTGGTTTAGTTACTAGAATGCTGCTTCTGAAAGTCACAGGGCTGGGTATTGCTGGCAAAATATTTTTTTAAATCTGCCTTCAGCTTCTTCAGAATCATCTCAAAATTAAATATACATTTCTCCTCTTGCTTTTCTTGAGGTTGGGCATCTGAGATCCTTGAATTCTCCAAGAGAGCTAAATGTTCACCTAAATATTTTAGGTCATCCTGATTGTCTCTTTCCACAGCAAATTGATTCAGTGGCTCTCTGGAGTTATTAAATAGTAATCACACTTGTTAATTTCTTTTTCAATGCTTGTTAAGTATATCAAAGACAATCAAATACCAGATTACTGGCATTGCCCACTGGTCCAGAACACAGCTCCAAGAATTTGTGTGTGTGTGTGTGTGTGTGTGTGTGTGTGTGTGTGTGTGTGTGTGAGAGAGAGAGAGAGAGAGAGAGAGAGAGAGAGATTTTTGGCAAAAGAAACTTAATATTTATTTCCTTTCCAGTTCTCAGTATCACTTTATCAGAATTTCTTAAACTATATATGTAATTCAGAACCCTGAAAACAATTTAGCAGTACAAAGAAACTGACCCTTTGAGGATTATATGTCCTTATTCTCTTTGACCTTCATGTTTTATTTCCTCTCAACTGTTTGTCATATTATATAAAACTAACACAAGAATATATCCAAAGGAAAAAGTTATTCACAGTTTTGTCAGCCTACAAATCTGCTAGTTTTTTTCCACTGGTTTTCTTCCACATACTGTCTACTTACATGCATTCTTGCATAGCTGTATTCCTTGTGTAGATGTAATTTTCCATTTCTTTTTCACTTTTATTCTGAATTTTTTCATGTAGCTGTATTATCTCTGTGGTTTTTGTTTTTGTTAGATGTATAATGTGTTATGTAATTAAAGTGTCTTTGTTTCCATAGCCATTGTTCCACTGAGCATTTAGACTGATTTTGAGTCAGAGTTTTTCCATATTATGAACAATGCTGCAGTGGATGTAGAACTTTTTTCTTTGCTTGAATTGTCTAGGATTAATTTCTAAGGATGGGTATAAATACATTTATGCCCCTTAATAAGGCTTGTGAAATTGATTTTTAAAAGAATAATGCCAGTTTATACTGCCACCAACTGAAAGGCTGCCAGTCTACCATATTTGTGCATTTTGAATTGCTAATTAAGTACATATAAAATGGCAAAAGGATACTGTCTTGTTTAATTTGTAATTCTTTAATTACTAGTGGAGTTGAATATATTTCCAAATGTTGTTTAGTTATTGCAGTCTTTTCTCTTGTGTTGATTGTCATTTAAGGCCATCTCATTTTGAATATCTGTTTCAGTCTTTCTTTGTAAAGACTTTACCATTCAGGTGAAGATTAAGACAAATTATCCCTTGTTTGTGAACTTGCTTAATGACTCTTGTGGCTGGCTGCAAGCAGGTAAAGTGAGGTTTGGCCCAAGCCTGTCCCAAGGGAAATAGTGTTGCTGCCCCTGTTATGCTCAGTCTGTGTCCCCTGTTCAAAAGATGCAATGCTCATCTGTCAGAAGGTGATCTGTCCCCTCTCTCAACTTTTGCAGAGCTCTATCAAGTCCCCATCATTGGCGTGACCGTGCCCGTCATGTGGCTCTGCCTCCTCTTGAACGTCATCACTCAATATCCTTTGGCCACCTGTGGGAACGGGTACTCTTTTCTTCTAGCAGGAGGGCGGTGTGAGCTTGGCTTTTGCCTGGATTTATTCTGTATAAACAGGAGACAAAGAGCCCATTCAGGGAGCACCCCTGTTGGGGCAGAAGACAGAAGAGGTGTTAGTGGTGCAGTGGGTCAGAAAGTCTCAGGGCAAGAGAGGAAGGGCTCTGGGAGGAGTGTGGGAGTCCCTGCTTGGCTGGAAACCAGTCTGCAGCCTGAGGGATCCTGGATGCCCACCTGCCATTTTTTGGTACCCTTGGATATTTCCAGTTATCACAGCTGCCACAAGTTTTGAAGGACATGTCAAATTAATCAACTTGTTTTTTTAATGGGTATTTTTAGTGACCTTAAGTTCATTGTAAATATCATTTGAAATAGTGAGTGAGATGCATGGCGAGTGACCTCATTTCTCTGAAGTCACTTCACAGATTTGCTATCTGGAGGCCCTTTCTGGAAGAGGAGGTGGAAGGACTGGGGACAAGGTAAAATAGAGTGGATGGGATTGCCTCTGCAAAGTGTCTCCCTCCACCAGTGCCTCAGGGTCAACTTCCTTATCCAGAATAAGGATAATGGAAGTTTCTAGGCCATTTCAAATTGAGGTTATAAATGGAGTGGTGGGGCAGAAAATCTGCAAGGTGTGGCGCCTGAGAGGAACCCACAGAAGCTCTGGCAGACCCTCGTGCTTTCTAGGGAATGGCAGCTTGAGCTGAGAACCAAGCCAGAAGGTTCCACAGACCCACAGTCTACAGAAGCTGCCTTAACTGCCCTCCAGGTATGTGTGCATCCGGGGCGTGTTCATCCTCACCACAGAATGCACCTCCCTCACCGTCACGCTCGTTGTGACCCTGCGCAAGTTTGTGAGCCTCATCTTCTCCATCTTATACTTCCAGAACCCTTTCACCCTGTGGCACTGGCTGGGCACCTTGTGTGTCTTTGTTGGAACCTTAATGTACACAGAAGTGTGGAACAGACTGGGGACCACAGGAAGGCAGCCTCCGAAGGGTGCCAAGAAGAACTGAGGCCAGCCTGAAGCCAAGCTAGTGTTGTGGTGAGGGGAGATCTGGCAAGGTTGGCTACCTTCACTGCCAAACGTGGCAAGAGGAGGGGGCTTCTCAGCCTCCTCGTGGCTACACAGACCAACATCTGTAGACCAAGTAGGATCCCGGCCCTGAAGTCGCAGGAAGAGCAGCTCTGAACTTTGAACAGCTCGTTCACATGTGGCTTTTGTTTTGTTTACCAGAACATTCAGTGTTAAGCCTGTTTGTTGAATTCTGAGTCCCACAGCTCCTGGTTTCGCATCCATGGACCGGGCCGGGGCCATCCCTCAGTCGCCATCCTGAGGCGTCTGCCTAGCAGTCGTTCCCATCCCGTGGCCTGTCCTCCTGTCGCCCCTCCATTCTTCAGCGGCACCTCATAGTCAGTGTCCAGGCACATCACCATCAAGGGTGGCCAGGCACACTGAGCCGCTGGGAACCGCGGAGTGAACTTCCCAGCCTGCTGGGAACGAAGCAGCTGTCCTGTGAGCCTGGCCCTGAGGGCGCTGGCGCGGGACTGGCGGCATCCCCATTCTACATCTGGCTTTTTTTTCACTATGCAAAAGCCAGCTGATGCTCGCGTCTGCTGCTTTCTGTGCTTACAGCAGTCTGTACCCGGTCTCAGGTGGGCACAGTGTTAATAGGAAGAAAAGGCTGTCAATGGCATGGGAGCCCATGAAACCCGTTGTCCTTGACCCAGATGCTGAAGGCTGAGGCCCCGCCCACATCTGGGGAGCTGCAGCTCCCCCTGCCGGCTCAGCTGGGCGCTCACAGCATGGGTCCCGGGTGGCAGGGTCTCTGGAAGACCTAGTCACCAGGAGACCCAGCTAGACCAGGCAGCTCTGAGAGTCAAAACCCGCCAGGGGAGGGAGTAGGCTGAGGTACACGGCATGGTGTGAGTCAAATGGGATCCCACTGCAAAGAGAGCAGCCGCAGGTTACTCTTGCTTTTCCTGTAAGGCACCTTAAAATCGTGATGGGTGTGCTGGGATGGCAGTGTGTGCTCTGTAAGTGTGGAAGCATGCCTCTCTTGCTGATCGTTTCGAAAGCCTAGCCTTCCTCTCATGGGTGGGTCTTGAGGAAGAGGCGCTGTCCCTGCCTGCAGTATGTGGCCCACGTGTAGTGTATGCTGAGGAGCACAGGAGTCGGTGGCTTTTTTTTGACTGTGCAAAAGTCAGCTGCTTCTCGTGTCTGCTCTTTCTGTGCTTGGAGCAGTCCTGCAGCTTGTCTTGAGGGACACAGTGTTAACAGGAAAGAAAGATGGTTGATGACCTGGGAGTCCATGAAACCCTTTGGCCCAGAGGGAGGCAGCATGAGAGCCTGGCAACCACCAGCTTTTCTTCATCTACCATCAGCTGGGCCTTCTGCGAGTCACTGACTTGCTGGCTGTGTCCCTTCCTGCCTGCAGATGACCCAGCTTTTTGCTTTCACTGGTGCAAGTTGTGCTCTTAGCTTGAGATGTGACTCTCAGGCCCCCTGGGCTCCCAGGTGTGGTGTGTTTAGAGTATTCTCTGATGGGTCTGAGCAGCGGCAGTGAAGACAAATGTCCTAGAACCATGGCCGGGGGGTGGGGGGCTTGGAGTAGTCATTGAAGCTGCCTTTGTTTTTTGTTACTTAAAATGAGAATATTATTTCTCCACCTTAATCACAGGGTTTGCAGAGTGATTTGTTTTTCTGAACATTGACAGCTTTCCAGGGCCAGTAATGGTCTGTTCTAAAAGATGCTGAATTAGATGTGAACCCATTCATGGAATCAAAAGCCACTTGCTTTGAAATATATGGAGTTCCTCAGAATTGATGGTGCTATAAATATCCAAGTGTTACATAACCTCTTAAGAAATGAAGACAACAAAAGCTACTGTTTCTTATCTCTTAATAGAATAACCTGTCCCTAAGGGCTACTTGAGTGCTACATTTCTGAAGTCTCCGAGTAACTCTTTAACAGGATGTAACCTTATACAACATAGTGTTACCCCTTTTATGTTGATGGAAAACATCTTAATTTTTAGTTGAGATGTGTTGATGTACTCAGGCAACATTTGGGCCCATTAGGTTTTAGATTGTGATTTTAGAGTGTTCCTGTTCCTCTCGGCGTGAATACCTTGGCTGGCATTAAGGATATTGTGGACAGATAATAGATCAGAGCACAAGAATACAATAAAACAAGCACAAGAAGGAGCAGAATGCCTGAAATGTCCTGTGAATGGGTTTTCTCTCTAGTAGGTGGGTATTAGGAGATATGGCTAATGGATACCAGTTAATACTTTTTTTAACTGCTCTTTTAAAAATCCACATTTATTCTCCTTGGTTAACCGATTGTTCAGTCTGGATTGAAAATTTTTTCAACCTTTATTCAAAGGGCAAATAAACCATTTTGTAGAGGATCAGACTCATACCTAACTGGAGAAGAAATGTCTATTAAATGCTTCTTCTCTTTCTGTGGTCCCAGACTATGAAATTTTGTGCTCCAGAGATCCAGGATATATATGTTTACAAGAGAGTTTGGTGTTTAAGACATTCAAAATGATTGGTCCAAAAATCGTGTACGGCCATACCACCCTGAACGCGCCTGATCTCATCTGATCTTGGAGGCCAAGCAGGGTCGGGCCTGGTTAGTACTTGGATGGGAGGTCCAAAAATCAAACAACAAAGGACACTAGCCAGGAAATGCGGTGTCTGTGCCCCGGGCCCCCACTGAGCAGCTGGCAGTCAGTGGATGTGTAACAGGAGAGGACAGTGGATGCATGAGTTATGTTTGTTTAATGTCTACATGTCTTCAGTTGAATTCTATTGTCACATTATAAATAACATCTTTTCCATGCTTATCGGTAATTTCTGTTTTAGATTATTTGTGCTTGATTAATAAATGCACTTCATAAGTATATACCAAGTTCTAAAATATTTAAACACACTCCAAATAGTTGGCTTTGTTTGTTTTTGTTTGTTTGGTTTTTCTTTTTTTATTCCTTCTTTCTGTCCTGTGAACCAAAATGAAATGCTGCAGTATTTTTACTTTGGTCATGCCACAAACAGGAAAACCTTGAGTGCCACCCCGAACCCACCCTTCCATTCTTCCAGGAGGATGCCATGGCATTTGGAAAGATGCTAGTAAAGATCTGGTTTCCTCTCTGAACACCTTCCTCTGGTTTCACTTCCTGACCTTCCCTCTAGTTTCTTCACTGCAGCCTCTACTGGCTTGCCATGCTTTCTACTAAGGAAGACCTAAGCCCTATACTTGCTTATGCCTCTATTCTTTGGGGCCTCTGGATGTTCTGTGGATTTTTACAGGGTATTTATATCTGCACAGCATGCATTTTGTTATATTCTTATAAACATGAGGAGTGTGTATTTATAAGGGTGAGACTATCTGGCAAAGTGTGTGAATACTGTATGTGTAGATGGGTGTGAATGTGGAGGGCTAGTATAGACATGTCTGTCACAGCTCCAAGTGGGGGCCAAGAACCTTTACTACCAGGCTCTTCTGTATTTGGAATACAGTCGTTTTCTTATTCTCTTTTCACCCCGCCATTAACTGGCTTCACTCACAGTGCCAGATATCTAAAGATGAGGGAAGTAAAAAATCTGAGGTCAGTCAGGAATGATTCTGAACCACAAACGAGCTCTGGGCTATGCACAGGCTGGCACTGACCTGAGCAGATGCACAGGTGCATGTGGAGAGGACCATGTCATAGGGATCTGGAATTAAGAGCCTGTGTGTCGTATTTTGCTTCACTTGGGCTTGGAATCAGTAGAACCATGGATCATGAGTAATTCTGCCCTTGTTAGATAACCAAAACATTTTGGTCTCAGAAGCTTTCTCCTGAAAAATGTGATTGAATCTTATCTGTGGCAGCTCACTCTTGGAAAGAACTGTGGATATGGATAAAATCCATTCATTACTATTTGTGATTGGTGTGGTGTGTTTAATGAGCTTAAACGATACCTGTATGTAAAAGAACTGGTCGTGGCCTTGGAATATGGTCAGTATGTCCAGCCTGGTGAGAGACTGGCCCTGCTGACTTGGCAGCTTTCTCAGAGCAGCCATCCAGGGACGGGCGGTCCAGGGTCCTGTCTTCTCCGTTCTGTGTCACTCATATCTGGTGTCATGTCTGACTTGTGTGTGGATCATTGAATGCTTGCCGGGATCTCTCCTTCCCTCAGGTTTCTGGAACCTTCTCAAATTGTTCCCACTCTTCATCAGCTGGTTGACAAGGAAGCAAATAAGGGAACACTGTGCTAAGATTTCAAGCCACAGAAGGAGGACTCTGGCGACATACACCAGGACCACTGTTGTGTGCAGCCTGCTCCCAGCTTCTGCTCTCTTGACTGCCTAGGGGCAGAAGCGGATTCTCTGTTCAGCACCTTACATATCTGATGCTTAGGGAGAAAGTGTAAGGAGATGGCTGCTGGAGCACTGAGGATTCTTAGAAGTTTGGAAGCTGGCTGCCTGGGATGGCCAGCACCGCTCACATCCCCATAGCTGGTGCAAAGGAAGCCTGTTCGGACTGTCGGAGAAATAGGACCCATACTTTTTCAGAAAAAAGTTGTAATAGTTCCTTTGGCATACTGACTTGTTGATGTTTTGAGATGTAAAGAAGATTCCTGTGAACCAGAGAGCGGCAGTTGTTGTCCCAGCACGGTTAAATGTCTTTGTGCATCACTTGCAATTGTAGTTTCTGTGTCAGTTGCTTTCATTCTAGAGAATGGCCTCATCCTTGAAAAAGAGAGGATGGTTTTAGAGGTAGGATTTTCTAACAAATTATGGGGTGTAGAGAGGGACGGTGGGATTTTGCTTATCAGCCTCAACTCTTCATTCAGTGTTTTGACTGCATTTTAAGAACAAAGATGGCAGAGGAGGGAGCAGAGAGCTGCTGAGAGTGCTAAAAGGCACTAGCGAGTATTCAGATTCTGAGCCACAGTCCGCTTCCTGTCTTAGGAGTTATTTGAGCAGAGAGTCGAGGAGAGGGAGATTTTGTGAATAAAATGTTCTGCCAAACTGAATGAGTCTTTTTACCATTATTTCTTAGATCTAGCCTTTTTTTTTAAACCTTCTAAAACGACTCATTAGACATCTGGGGTTTATCTTGAGTGGTATAATCATTGTTTCTTAATAAAAGTGACACATTTCTTGCAGGTGTTTCCAATCACCCTCACCTTTGAAGAGCTTGTGAGCAGTTTCAAAAGCTCTCCAGTTTTTACCTTGTGTAGTGGCGGTGGCATATTTTACTACAGATGGCTGTCAGCAATCGTATTCCTCATGCCTGGCAGTTGGATCAATAAGAAACCAC